ATTAGAGCGACGATGAGACAGAGAATAACTAAATAACTTACTAAGCCAAAACTTACACAACTGATGGAAACCTAATAAGGGCCGAATTTCCACAGATTCTCAGAGAGGTCTACCCAGACTGATCTTACATGGTAAGAGGTCACATCAGTTAACTGCAAATACACACAYCCAAGTTTTCTGAACGGCTCACAAAGTCAATGGAGTATTTCTGGACTTCTGCAGCCTCTACCCTTTCAAATCTCTTCTTAAAGATCTGCTGATGTGATATTTACCTGCATGAAAAGATTCTGAGTTAGCTCTCTGCAAGCGAGCAGTTGTCTCAGGCAGAAACAAGACTTAATTTTGGAAAGGCCTGTGTTGGCTGCCTACACAGACATGAATTTCAAGTACTGTTAGATAGACAATCTCCTTCATACTATATATTAGAGCTGTCAAACATGTTCTAGTGTTGTTATTGCTTTATCACGATTCTCCCACTGGTAGATACTTTCCTTAAAAAACCAATTCCTGGATTGTCACAGGACTGGAAAAAAAAAAAAAAAAAAAAAAGGAAAAAAAGTAGGTATCCTCCTTTTACAGAGGAAAGCTTGGAAAAGCAGCACTTAACGCCATAAAGCCTGCAGGAAAAGCTAAAAAGAAAGGAATCTGAGTGCTATTATGTTCCTTGTTTCTCATGCCTCTTCTTGTTTTTTTGGCCAGCCTAATGTTCTGTGATTTCTTATCGCTTGGGCTTGGCCCTCTGGCATCTCCAACTCCATTATGAATGACTCTATGTTCTTGCCTTTGGACTGTTAAGCTTCCTTGGGCAGAAACTGTCGTTTACTGTACATCTCTACAGCATCTTGCCCAATCTTTACATCAGAGATCTGTGGACAACTGCACTGATCAAATACTGAGGGAAGGACAAGGCTTGTTACGCTCTCCCTGGGAGACCAGTCCTAACAGGTTGCTTATAATGGTGCTTTGGGAATCATTATTCTAGGCACATTTGTTTATTTAACATATTCCAAACTCAGTGCCTCAGAATGAGCTTCTCTTGACTCGCCAAGCATGATTTTAGGGTACAACCGAGAATATTTATGTAATCTTTTACRTTTCTCTTATTTAGTATTAGTTCACCCTCAACCTTCACCTACAGCCAGGATATGATCAAGAAGAGAAAAATGAGCAGTAAAGTGCTGGCAAATTGGCTGAGAGATCCAGAACCTGAGCTTCGGGAAGATGAGAGGACCACTGCTAGGTTGTGCTTAACTTCCAAAAGCAAATGACTAGCTGCTGATTCAGAGGTAAATACGGGWTTCAGCTATTAAAAAAACATGGGATGAATTTTTCAAAAGGAACTACCGATCTTTTCAATATCTAGCAATTTTAGAGAACAGCTTTAAGGATGTTTGATTTACAGAGAACACACAGTTAGCTCCTTTGACAGCATTTTTAGAGCTCTGAGTTTTGAATAACTTGCTCTTTTAGTTTAATGCTAAGGTCAAGATGGAGACAGTGCAGAAACCGGTGCCAGAAAAATTACAGAAAAAATAAACAATTAAAGTAAAATTATATTTTTAACATAACCTTTCTAGATTTAAACTTAAGAATAAAAATTTCTTTAGCTATTTAAAAATTTAATAAAAATTTCTTTGCTATTTATAATAGCAAAAACGTAGTGAAATTTTGTTGATCTAGATGGGGTTATTCCATTCAAAATAAAACTTAATTAGAAAATACAAAAGGTGATAATTTGAAGACCACAGAGAAATAAAATGAAACAAAATGAAGATTTTAACTCAGCTGGTGGTTTTCAAAAACAAACTACTAAAGACTTTCCCAAAACAATTGTACTTTGACTTTTTACTGATTTTTTTTCGAAGTCTTAATCTTTCATCAGGTTTTCAACATTGAACCATGACATAAAACAATCACAGTTTAGATATTTTACACAACTAAAACTTCCACTTCATAGACATTATTTGTTTCTGATCTGGTTAGTACTGCCTTAAACTGGTTTTGTTTAAGAATAAACAGGCACCTTAAAAATTAAAACAACTTCACACTCATTCTTATGTTAAGTGGTTATATGTCACTCACTTTCCATGTTATGGGGTAATCTGAAAGGAGTGACTCTAAGCAGTTCTAGAGCATATCGACTTCAGTCCAAATATTTCTTGTCTCTCTCTAAATAAAAATCTCTGGCTTGAGAGAATGGTGCCAAAGACATGCTGTATTTATAATTTAGCAACTATTCAAAATGGTAAGTTCACTCCAGTCTTGTTGGACTTTGCTGTTACCACATATCATAAACTTCCCAATCACTATCTGTCTAGGAACAAATTTACTTTTAACAAACCTGAGATAACCTTGGTTTATGTTAAAAATACCTCGGTTGGTATTTACTTGTGTAGCATAATAACGTAGTCAGCTTTCTGAAGTTCTATTTATGCCTCGGGGCGATTCCTGAAGTAAACTGCACATGATGTCAGGGTTATTACTTGGAATAATCCAAACAACAAAATAACACAGTTTTCAAAACAGAGGCTTAACAAACCTAAGCATCTTTTTTTTTTTTCTATTTCCTATATTGAATTTATAAGGTAATTTGTTAAAGAAATGCAGAAACTGAGGCCTGGTGTCAGCAATCAAAAGTAGTTTCATTTTGTTATGACAGAAATGAAACTCTTTAGATTCTTCTTCTTTGGAGTACATTATTTTGAATATATGCTATTTTTGGATGCTGCAGAAAAACGCAAATTCATAATGTTCTAATTTGGCAAGAAATATGAACCCCAACAGATTCAACCACATGATCATGCTACCAGCTTCTAAGTTGTCAATTAGAAAAAAAACACAGAGGTCTCTGTTTCTTATGCAGAGTGATGAACAAAGAAAACTTTTGATGTTTATTCGTCTGGGCCCCGAAGAGAGAGCAAGGACTGTCCAAAACAGTGGCACTGTGGAATGATGCAACTAAGACAGAATATTCAACCTTATAATGACCTTTCATCTTCCTTCAGTCCTGTATCAAATTGTTGCTACTGTTCTGCATTTAAGACATTTAGAAAACACATCTTTAACGGTGTTTAAAGCTTTTATGGCCAGATAAAGAACAAAGACTACTTGTACAATTAAATATTTATTCCTAGCAATGCCCCGTGTACACATGCCCCTCAAATCAATCGCTGACTCCAAAGTTACATTGCTTAATGTATAATATTGCACACAGGAAATACAAATTCTTTATTTGCAAGTTACCAAGCTATCCATCTTACCATATGCTTCTAAATGCTTCTAATATAGTCCCAAGAAAAAAAAAATATATTTTAAAAGAACTTGACTTCTAACCTAGCATATTGATATATATTTTTTTTATTAAGCACAAGGACTTGTTAAGCCAAATGCACGTGCAGAAGGGCTTTTATTTCAGCGTGTGCCTCTTAAAAGCAAAAATTGTCTTCTTTACTAATAGCTTTTCAGCGCCCTCTTTAAAGAATGAGGAAAGCAAGAACAAGACAGAGCTATTTTCTTGCAAGGCAGTAGAGGGAGCCCCTTCACAGGGCAATCCTCGGTCTGCCCCAGTTCTGCACTCCTATACTCCGGAGTTTCTACTATATGTGAGGCTAAGGGCAGGGGGAAAAAAAAAGATGCAATGCAAATATCACCAGAATTAATCTTTCTTTAGCTGTATCGCAGGGCCTAGCAAAAGCTGATTAACAAAACTAATTTTCTATCTTTTTCATTTTTGTCCAGAACAAAGGAGACTGGCAGCTAAGTTCCTGCGGTTTGCTTACCCTATCCCTAAATTAACACCCAACAACCTCCGGCAGCTTCCGCAGGAGGTTACAGTGCCTTTCTGATACAGCGTGGTGCAGCTTCAGTTTTGCTACAGATGCAACTCACAAACATCTGTGACTCATCTATGTGTGAAGATAAAAAGGCAGGGGGGTCTAAAGCAGGCTGAGAAGAGCCAAGAAAGAAAAGATCATTATAGCCTGGATTTCTTTGTAAGTCATTTTATGTTACGGTGTCAAAATCAGCATATGTCTCAACCCTGGTTTACCATGCACACAATGGATCTTTCAACTATTTTTTTCTGTACAGTTCTTTCCGAGAGCAGTTAATCCAGTAAAATTGCATGTGCTCTRCATTTCTCTACTTATTTTCTTCCAACATATGTGTTTACTTCTCAAACTGAAACAGTAATCTTGCCATTGTCTTTTGTAATCTCTATTTGTTATAATGTAATATTGCTGACATTGCTAACAAACCACCGAACTTACTGAGCAAAGGGGACTAATTTGCAATCCTGCTTCGGTAACGCAGGCCTGAACAAGGATAGTTCTCATCAGCTTCAAGGGAGTAAGACTAAACGGGCTAAACTTTTGCTCTGCCTGGGTATTTTGAAAAWCGTTCTCCACTGGGTCCCAAGGCACTTAAGTAAACGCTCAAAACTCAGCTTAACTTAATTACCGATTATTTAAGTAAATGCTATCAGATTTTGATGATTATCAGTGGTCTTAAGCCTGAAATGAAATCTGTGCTCACGAACTCAAAATCTAATGGTGAACTCAATTGCCTTTACTAAAGCTTAAATTCATAAAATAAACCTCTGATTCCACTAAGGTCAATGTAAAAACTCCCTTTGCCTTCAAAGRATCAGGATTTCGTCCACTAACCTCAGCAGTTTCACCTAAACAGGGCTACGTAAAGAAACCAAAAGTTTTTATAGATAAGCTAATGTGAAGGAAACGAGGCATTTACATACATGAAACTGGGTKAAGTACAAGATTTTTCAACAAAAAACTGCTGCAACCCAGTCTCTTCCACCCCACATGAAGCACCGATAAGCGCCCCTTCCCTCCCAGCAGCTGGGGGACCCGCAGCCCCCTGGCCGATACCGAGCTCATTCTGACAGCCTGAGCCCAACACGCAGTTATTTTAGGCCTCGCGAGGGGTGTGCAGGAAGGCCGCTCTTTGCGGCCAAAGCTAAACAGAAAGTGGCTGCTCTTTACCTGCACTGGTGCCTGCACCGGTTGTGAGGTCCCCACCCATCAGGCCACCTAAGGGGTTGAAAGAAAATACTGCAAGTGAGCACAATACAGCATCACAGGCAAACAGTTCCAGACAGTCCCAACATTTTCCCAGCTTTCAAATGGCCCCATGCAAGTGCCACTACTGGTTTCCTTCTGACTCCTACAGGCATCAGATCAAGTCATAACAATTKTAACATTTAATGTAACACATCCAAAGTATTTGACTTGCAAGGACAAACAAAAAATGAGGTCCCTAACTTTTTATTATTTTATTTTCATGCTTCCGCAGCATATAAACTACAAATYATATTTGAAAATTGTGTTTAGCATGTCTGCATCTGAAAACTGTAATTGTTTCAGTGCTAGCCAATAAAGAAGTCCTTCCACACAGGACTGGGAGGATGAGAACTTAACTGTAACACATATTTGCATAACTTTTCATTTTAATTTTCTCAGCCTTTCATAGACATTCATTCCAAGTATTTTTAATTCTCTGTGCTTGCAGACCTCAGATGCTTCTTTGAACCCTGTATACTTAAGGACATTGATGTTGCTTTAGGCAGACAGATTGAATGAACCTAATCCCCATTTATCCTGTTCAGAGGTGACCCCTCATCAGGAGCAGCGCAGGACATAACCTCCTGCTATACCAGATTCTTAAGTACAGAGCTCAGCTAACGTGAACCATCAAGCAACTGGTGAATGCAACAACAATAATTCCTTGACATAACAACAAATTCTGCATTCAGYCTCTGGATTGCTGTTTAAAGTAACTCGTGGTCTATTTTACTTGCTTTAGCTTGTTTGCCTTGGACATATACTCTCTCCTCCCCACTTAGGTTTTACAGCGCAGTGAGTTCTTCCATGTATTAAGTAGACAAGCTGCCTTTTTATGAAACAGCAAATTGTCTGGCCTTTTATCCCTTATTGATTTCCTTTAATCTTAGTCAATATTCAGCTTTTTCTAGGACTTTTTTTTTTTATTATTATTATTATGGTCTAAATTGAAAATAGAAACCTCTTTGGCTCTTCTTTCCATTTTTGAACAGAGCAATTTCAGTTAAACTGTTAGGACTAACAAAAACCGAGCTCTTTTCCCCTTTTTTTCCRCCCTCAGAGTTTAAAGTTACTAACGCACACGAGCCGGCAATAAAAGAGAGCATTGAAGAGGAGGAGAGCGAGCAGCGCGTACCTGTGTTACCTGCACTCGGAGGCCGATGCGTCACGCCAGGAGACATGCTATTTCTTTGCAAAGAAGGATGGGCCAGCGGCAAAAGGTTGGGGTTCCCCAGCGAGCTGACTGGGTTACTGTACACCAAACTGTTGTGGTTGGACACTGGGATAGAAACTGGCATCTCAAAGTTTGGTGGTGGAACAGCCTGTACAGGCAAAAAAGGGAAACAAAGACAAGAATAGTACAGAAGCACAACAGACTTCAAGTACAGTTACTCTATATTTAGTTCAAATATGTTGTAGTTGGTTAAAATATTTAAGCTCCCCCTCCRCTGAAAGTCAAGAGAAGAGTTTTAAACAGAGTTAACAAGGCTTTAAAATATCATTTTTGAAATCGTGATTCCATCTTCCTTCACTGCAGCTTGAACATTTATTTCATGAGAAGTAGAAAGATCTTTTTTTTTTTCTTTTTTCTTTTTCTTTTTGTTTAAAACACAACCCGGCTTCACAGAGCTTAATCTTCTGTTTCTTTCATTCTGTGAAGTCATAATTGTTCACTTGTGATATCTTAATCTAGTGTCACCGACGACTGCAAGATCAAAGGTGCATGATTATGATGACTTCATTGCACGGAGAAGAACTAGAAGGGGTGGAACGCAAACGGGAAAGCTTTAATTTCGGCATACGTTGCTTTAGCAACCAGAATGATCCCAAATCACGTTAAAGGCACCAACAAAGTAAATGACTTCTTAAAGTTTCTAGCTTAGTTTGCGAAGGGCTTAAATGAAAGCTTCTACTCAAGGACACACAGCAAATACAAGAACTTTCCATATATAACTCTCTTCTGGTTCTTGGTTTTGGAAGGGGGCTGTTTTTAATGCCTTCTCAATAGACTGTTATCATCAGTCAAAAGTAGCATCTAACAGAGCCTTTCCATTGTGAGAATCCCTTTCAATATGCAGTTTGGCAAGCTGGACCAAATTATGCCACTTGACTCTAGGTCTGACAGGGAGCGTGAGGAGACGCAGTGCTTGTTTCTGGAAAACACAATACAATATTCCCAACTCAAGAGTGTTGGGTTGTTGGATGAGGTTTTGGGGGTCAAGGCTCATYTGAATTTCATTAAAATCCACAGTTCTTGTATTATTCAAATACATGAGAATTCCATATTTAATTTACTTRCATTTTTAATAAATAGCTTCCTGCTCTTGTGAATGGACAGAAAGCCTTTTCAGTTAACTGACAGTATTTTAAGTGTTCARAAATCCAAATGCAAACCAAATACCCTTTAATTTAGTACTTAATAACTTTTAAGCACTTCAAAGATCTCAACTCTTAAAAAAAAAAAAAACTTTAAACCAGCCTTGCGGTGACATCTTCAGAGGGAGGAACTCGCAGATTTCAGTTTTATTGTTAACAGATGATTGTATGATAGGTCTCCAAGGACCCAGAGGGAGTGTGCTGARAACTGGACGCATGATCTGCTGTGTCAGGCAGCAGACACAGCCTGACCTTGTGCCACCCACATGCATCTTCTCTGGCTAGTCACATCTGTTGGCTGCGCCCTACATATTACAGCATGGGCTATCAAATTATAGTTATCCTTCAAGTTTTATTTGTCCTATCCCTCTTTCTAGGGGCAGGCATAATTCTGTTCCAAATATACAGCAATCTTTTTGCTTAACCACTGAAACATAGCAAACATAATAAGTCACAGCAAGAGTCAGCGCACCCTATGAACAGTGTGCTACGTGAATGCCTCAGGACTTCTTTCAGGGTGTTAATTTAGCTCTATAACCCACTCTGCGGCTTGAGTTTCTTAGAAAAACATGCGTCTCCACGCTAGCACGATGGCTGAGATCAGCTRGGAGGCTCAAGCTAACTGACCTCAGTTTAAACATCCCCAGCCTGCGGACAGAGCTTCTTGCGCTCCGTCCCTTTGGCCAAGACACTAACTGGCTACTTTCTGTTTGAAGACTGGTTTAAGAAGGGTTTAGTGGAGGAGAGGGATTCTGGAAATGTTCAGTAAGAAGCAAAACTGCATGCATTCTTGCTGTTCATGTTGAGATACTGAAGCAACCTCTAAGGTTTGTGCTTCAGAAATAAGGAATAAAAGAGAACCAATGACTATATACTGACAAATTTAACTGCCGAACTATGCTGTCCCAGCTTTTCTTCACTTCTTACAGGCACAACACTTTTGCAAGTGAACTTTTTTTTACAGTTAAGGACTACTTCTCTGGCTGCATGCATGGCTTATCTTTCAAATAATTTATCATCCACACAGAAGAAGTGGCACCCACGCATGTCATGACTGAAGGCTAAAATCCTTGGAAATAGGCACATGTGGTGTAATTTGAAACATTTAGCACTCTATAAGCATGCTTTGAAGCAAGACATTTTCTTCACTGCCCACAAACGACTTTAGGAGCTTCCTAAGTTCTGTGTAAGGTAGGGGATGCACTTTGGCCCTCAGTGCACAGGCTGGTTCTGAAGCTCAGAGCCAGCTGCTGTGGATGGTTGCTGCCTTTTCAAAAAGCTCTAGCCAAAGGATTCAGACGAATGTCTCAGCTTCCCATCCTGCCCAGAGCCATGAATAAGCTATCACGAAGTGCCTCGTTACTGTGATGTGCGGTGCTGCAGCAGAGTGCTCTGTGCCTGGTTGCTCCAAGGACGTGATCCCACCTCCGGTTCTGCAGGCTTCAAACAGTGCTCAGGAGCCTTCAGTCCAAGTCAGGCTCAATGTCACCCACCAGCAATCATTTTGCACGACTGTTGTTTGGCCTAGGAAGCCTGGCCTGCTGGGTCTGCTGTACAGCCGATACCAGCACTATCCCCTCTGATCTCTTATTTCCTGTTTCCTTAACCTCATCCTCTGTCCAACTACCAAGACCCAGTACAAATACAAGTCTGAAAGTCTGGCCAATTCCTCTCCAGGCTCATCTGTTCCTGCCATTAATCTGCCTTTCCCTATGCACAAACCCTTCAGGTGCTGCAATCTCCTTAATCCTATGCTACAGCACAGAAGAGCCCCAGTTTCGGTTACTCTTACCACTCTTCGTAAAGACTGATCATCACTGGACATACAACTCCAGATCTTTTGTCTTTCTATACAATAATTTTAAAGCTAGTTACAAAGCTTATCTTTTTCATTTTTTGGCATGTCTAATGGCTTCCTCTGCATCCTCTTGCCTGCAGTATGGCAAGCCTATACTTAGATTAGCTTATGTAGTATTTTACAGGAAATTTTAATCAGAGATCAAAATAAAATCACTTTTACTCTCTGCTTTTCAGTGTGGTGTGTGATGCTCTGGAATACAGCAGTTTTTGTTTCTTCTCAGCAGAAGTCGAAAACGAATACTGTTGTATGCAGTAAGGTCCAGAGCAGAAGGCTGTCTGAATAATGACCAGTGTTAAACAGTGCCTGTCTACAGTCTCGCTTCTGGCTGACCAAATTTTCTGCCGCTGTCTTTTGTGTTCTTTACCAGGAACTGTAATCTCCTAGAGATCCCCTAGCCATGCCTGCTGGTAAGTCATGGGGCATTTCTATTCCAACTAGGCCTGATGAACCTTAGTGTGATGCACTTGTGTAATATCTATATTAATAAGTTAAATATGGCCAGGAACTGAGGCCATCTGAGGCTACAAGGCAGTTCCTACTGCTCAATTTTAACACATAAACACACCTGCCAGGGTCTGCTCAGATTATAAGCTGCAGAAACGAGGGCCTTCCAGTGGCTCAGAATCTTCCCTGTCATTTTGTACTTCATGACCCTTGTCGTAGCTTTAACAGGGACACAACTAGCAAAATTGCCAAATGCAACAGCTTGCCCATTTAAAGGAAATGTCCAGAGTACACAACATTGAAGTCACATGTGAACACTACAACTTGTAGGATGTTGTGGGAAGCAAAATGTTGGGGATTCAAAGCTCTTTAAAACAAATGCAGCAAAGTTTGTGCCAAGTACTTTTCTTTTTTTCCCTCCCATATTCAGCCAGGCATTCCTCTATTTACAGACAGAAATACTTAGAGCTCCCTTCCAGTGAACTATTTCTGTCTCTTCTGCTTTCATCACTCTTAGGAAAATTACAAATAAATGTGTAATTATTATCAGATGTTCTAGAACAATATAAATACTTACCCCCAGAAAATTATCTGAGGAAACATTATTGGCTTTAGCTGTTAAGAGGAAAAGCCAATTTTATTTTCATTTGGCAGCAGCTTTGCTCTCTTACAAGTCCAGGCATTGCATTGTTTTATACATTTTTGTTAGTGGTGATTTAATGGGTGACTTGCTGACTTTTTGCTCACTTTTGCTTTCCTCCCCCCAACTTTTTTGGCTACTTTTTGACAGTCAGAAGAAAATAAATAYAGCTTCCTAACCCTCCCTAAAGCTATATCAGTTTGTGCAGCTCAAGATCATCTCRTGCATTTACGAATTTTTGTTATGTACTAGCTTTGAGCTCTGTCTTGCCCACTACACTGAGGCTTACACCAGGAGAAGGAGCTCCTGCTGCACAAAGGAAGATCACCTACTGATTCTCCCTTTTGTGGTACGCAGCTTGCCAGCGCACACACGCACCTCGAGTTCAGCGTGTGAAGGATTCAAAGGAGGGACACCCTCTGCTAYATAAAAAGCAACACTAATACCAACAGTTCTGTAGTGCCTCTCTGAAGCAACTTCATAAAGAGATAATAAATTTTATGTTGTAACATTCCTGCAAACTAGAAAGTTACTTTATATCCAAAGTGGCTAAAGGAAACAGTGGAGATGAACCAAGAGCAGAGACAGTTTTGATGTCAAAAGGTTAAATTCTAATGAAAGCCATYGGAGAGAAAGTTCATTAATTATGGGGAGGACAAAAACAATGGATCATGTTTTGAATAGCTGTGCTGTTTCCAGTTCCTAGATCCCCCAATTTTATAGAAAATGCAATTTTTTTCTGAATGCTTGTAGTGGTAATGGAGGCAAGAGACTCRATATTAGCCAGGAATAAGGTCTTCCTTTTTTTCTTTTCCTTCCTGCTTTAAGGGTATATGGTTATAAAAATGTGCTGCTTTTGTGAAATAGAAACAAGCACCATGATATACAACAGAGGCTCTGAATAACCAACTAAAACCCAATTTTTGAGGGTGAAAAAATAACTAGGTAAAATCCTATCTGATTGCAGATTCTGTCACCCTGATTTGAACAAAACAAAGGTCATCCTTGCAAGATGAAAGGAATGGCAATTGCTAAGTTTTAACTTAAAAAAGTTAAGCATTTCAACATCTAACTGCTGTCCTAAGTACTGTAGTTCTTACTTTATTGAACCAAGTTCCATCCTGAAAAACAAATCCATATTGACAGCTTCAGAACTTTCTTGTTCAGAAAAAMAGCTATACAAAAGGAGCAAGTGAAAGGGAGGTATGAAAGATGGAATATATCAACTATCAGGGAAGTATACGTTGAGCATTCTTAACAAGGCACTCCACGTGCTCATTTGTCAAATCAGGTGCTATTCTGGCCTCTGTGAAAATACCTATTCAAGTTTCTGCACAAACACATTAACCACAGATGTGAGGGCTTCTTCAAATTTTCATTACCTTGTAAAAATGTTTGTTTTGAGAATTAATGTAAAGAGCACTCACTGTGAGAGACGGCATGAGGGCATCCTGAGGTACCCTCAGGTCAGGTATCAAATTTTGTATGTGCAATTGGCTAGGACTATGGAAGAGACTTGGCTCATTCTGGGTATGTAGACCCCCTAATTTGTAGCCAACCACCCAGCCTACTTGGGGGGATATGAAATGAACATATCCARATCATTTCACTCTCTTCTGGATGCAAGCATTTATATAGGCAAATTAATATGCTGCTTTGGACCTGGGCGAGTCTTTGGGTTTGCTACTCTTTCTTCCACAGGCAGAACGAGAGACCATCATAATTTCCACGCTTTTTTCAGGTTTATAAATCTGATATTAATCATCATTACAAAATATTTCCCCTCCCCCCAATATATCTTCTGCAAACGMAACAGCACATGCAGAGTTATTTCTCTTAGATATCTGGCAAGGCATATGACTGATGGTTAGAAATTTTGACTTGGTTAAAACAAAATTTAGCTCATGTTAAAGCATTAAAAAAATGCTGATGATGTCAAAGCAAATTCTCTGATAAAGCTGTAAAATCACCCCAACACACAAACATGTCTGAATCCTACCATTAGGCTCTCATGCAGGCTGTTTCTCTGCAGCGAGCAAGTAGCTGTAACCCTTCAGTGCTGTAACTGAGTTTGGCAGAGACACTTAAGAACTGAAGTGACACATACAGAACACACTAATTACTATATATAAAAGAATTTCAGTTCTACATCTTTTTTTTCTATATCACCACAGAAAGCATTCTGTGGGTTTGTTAGCCTGTCCTCAAAGAAAGATTTCCATCGTTATTTTTTAGATATAATTTGGGCAAGTGGTGTGGTAAAACAGTTCTGTAAATCAAGTGGATATAATGTAGATATGTATATTTCACTTCCTTCTCTAAGTTTCAGCTATTGTAGTCTTTGTCTGTGYGTCAGATGCAGCGTCTTGGAAGAAAAATGTTGTGTGAAGTTTTCTGACTACAGTATGTAGTTGAATATTGGGCTATTAAAGCCTCTTTCCAGCTGAAATGTTTTCCTTAAGAAGCCAGAACTGAAAGGGTTATGGTTTGTTACTGCAGCAGTTATCAGCAGACAGCCATCTAACCTTTGGTACTTACAGGTATTTTATGGCTCTTGATCATATTATCAAATTCTTCATTAATTTTTTTGTATTTTTCTTCAGTGCGTGGGGTGAGAGCGTAAGAGGAGTCAGGATCGGGGCTTTCACAACCTTTGTTTTCTTTCTTGTTCAATGCCTGCCAGGTTCAGAGAAATATCAAAACGTAAAAGAATGAAAGAGAGCTCAGRGTACTTACACATAATCTTTGCCTGCTGATCATTAGATCAATATCTTCATTAATTTTCCTGTACTTGTCCTCAGACTCAGGGCTGTGACCTACTGAATCGTCTGCATCGGGGTCTGGACTGTCACAGCCATTAAGTCCTTTCTTTCTCAACGTCTGAAATACATAATTCAGAAAGTTCAATCCTTGACACAAGCTGCACGAAAGACTCAGTAGTGTTACAGTAGCACAAACTGCCCAGCAGTTACAGGATTCACATTGTCCTTTAGGGAAAGAAACAGACTGAAGATCCACCACATGGCTGTTACATGGCTACAATTACCCGTAGCAGAGAGGATCGTGCAAACCTTTCCTGTGAAACTGGAGGCAGACAACAAAGAACAGGATTAGCCATCCCGCAATGGCCCTGTGCTAGCACAGGACTTTCCCACCATATCCGATAGCATTAAAGGGTTAAGGTTTACAGAGTGTGGTTTAATTTAACATATTTATGCATTTCAAATGACAGCATGTTAAGGGCAACAGAGGATTATCACAATATTTTCCTTTACTCTGAAGACACAAGAGGAAGAAATAATAATAATAATAATAATAATAATAATAATAATAATAATAATTGCAAATACATTTAGGAATCCATGCTCTTGAAAGAAGAGGGAGTATCTGAACTGATTTCTTGCTTAGAATTTGACATAAGGGATGACACTAACAGGACCCTGTCACTCCTAAGGATAGGATCTTCATAGGACAAGGGGGAGGAGAGAGCAGATAAAGTGGCTGTGAAATGCTGATTAAGAGCTTCTAGACACGGTGATTGCTTTTCAGTGACTCCAGTTAGTGCCACAAATATGTGGTGCTGAAGTTTATAGCACAGGGAAACATACTGCTCAAACAGATGCTTGATGAAAAGTCAAATCAGAGGAGTTGCAGATTCACCAACTCAAAGTAACCCTCAGAACCATGAGCATCATCACCAAGACAAACAATAGAAGAAAATAATAATAATAATGATAATAATAATAATAGCCAGCAGGTAAGAACCCAGAATAGTTGCCTGGCCTCAATTATGTTTTAACTGATCTATGCAGAGAAATTATCAAAGAACAGTCATCTGCAGCACTAAGGCAAAAGAATCTGAGAAGCAATTCTTGGTGGACTGTCCAAACAAAAGCAACAGCACACTGAGTCACTATTGGTAATATGTTTCCTCAAATTTAGCTCTAGGACTTYTCAGATGATACATTTTCCAAGAATCGCCTTAGTTGCCTATAAGCCTTACCACACAGTTTGCAGGCCTAACCTATTCTGAGCCTAACCTCAGTGAGTGCTCTCAGTTACTCCACACCGGCTGCAGAGCTCCTTGTGTTGCCAAGTGCTGTATCTGCGCTGTGTGATTGGTGTGGGATGCTCCAAGCAGCACTAGCTGGTTTTGTCTTGGATTCCCAGAATCGTATCATTTCATTTGAGCTTTCTATTCCATTTCAAAAAGTGCATTTCTTAAACATTATCACCATTGCAATGCCCAAGCTACCACTGTTAAATCCCTCAAGTACTACAGTTTTATACTTTGTTTCTGTAAGTTTGCATTTTCCTTTCTGTATTCTACCTCAGACTTCAAGAGAGAGCCTTCTTACTCCTGCAAGTGCTACTCCCYGTGAACCTCCCCATCTTCATCAAGCCAGAGAAGGAACAGCCATCTGTCCTAGGAGACCCGAACCTTTTGAACTCATGAACCTCCATACCAAAACTATGCCTAGTTTTGGAATACTGACTTAATCTCTACATAGACCTTTTCAAACTTTGTACCTACACAAACTTCACAATTAATCCCAAGAACTACTCCTGACACACAGGTACAAATTATAAATTCTTTTGAATTCAAAAATCTCTGTAGTTTTATATTCCTACATACTATTGTCATAACCTTGGAAATCAYGTGCAGCAAACCAGCTAGAGCTGCTGCCACATGTGACTAGTAATAAGCCATGCTGATAGTCTACCCAAAACAAACTGGTCCCTAACTGTCCTTCTGTGGATTCTCTGCTGTGTATCCACACAAGGACTCTTGCTGCAAGCCAGCCTTCAGCTWGGGCCCGTTTGGGAGTGATTTTTGCATCTTTTGCACATAACAGCTTGTTGTTTTTAATGTAGCTTTCATGGAATTTCCTTGCCTGCGAGACCTCTACCTTTGTGCAAGATTTGCTTGCCTCTCAACAAAGATTCAAAGAGTCAGACGAAAACAAAAGGACTGCACAGATGCACATCAACAGTCCTCCTGTCCTGAGGAGAGGAGGCTGAAAGTGCAATAAGTACTGCGGTACTTGTGGTATTCAGTACAAATATAGTGAACTTAGGCACCTCTCCCATTATCTCAGGCTCCTCAAAACAGAGCTAATAATTTTGCCTGTCCTAATGCATTATTTCACTCTTTGCTCTCCTCCACACCACTACTGAGCCTCTATCTCAGAATTAGAAGAATCCTGATTGCTATATTTAATAACAACAATACATGTTACTTGCTGATACAATGCAACCAGAAGGGGCCAGGATCAATACCCAACTGATCAAACCTCATTCATGAGCTCTCTGGACCCAGCACCAGTTTTCCCTCAGCATCACCTCAAGCTTATGGAGGCTGACCCTGGATTTTGGAGCAGACCAGACTCATTAAGAAGGCCAAGGAGGTTTCAGCAGGCTACAGTCTTTGTCTTTGACCCAGTGTTGCAGGGACTTAGAAGCCATATTTCTTAGCACGTTAAACTGCTGGAGCCTCTTGCAAACCCTGGAAAATAGCCAGACCTAAAGCATCTTCCTGGAGATTAGCTGGTTTCCAAAGCTTTAATGACTATTCAGGGATTTTTAAGAGGATGAAATTACCCAATTGTGTAGTGCACTGCATTCTAGAGAACCTCAAGCCAGATTTCAGTTATTTTTAAAGAAAATAAGTCATTTTTGTACTACGGAAGCTCTACTTTTTCCAAGCAATTAAACAAGTAATTATATTGGACTCCAATAAACTAAAATCAACCAAGGCATTTGAAAAACAATATGGTTAAAGGAAAACAACCTTTGGCTGAAATCTCATATGCCAGCAATTTAGCCTGAATCCCGCTCTATAAATCTCTGCATAGAAATGCTGACTTAGTGGCATATTGGCTGCAGAAAAAATGAAGTATAAACAACTATTTACTTGCATTTCATGCAAAATTTATCATCACTACAAAAGCAAAAAATATGGTACTATCAGCCAGGTCTGATTTTATCAGGGCAATGAAAATTAACACAATTTGAAGGCTTTTAAGAAGGAAATGCCTTTCATTTTCCTAGGCCATCCTCTGCTGCTACAGCATTATCTTCTTTTAGCACTACTTTACCCAGCAGACTAGGGAACAGAAATTCAAGGTGAGAAGCTCCAAAACTTTCTTCTATCATACTTTTTAGCTTCCTCCCATTTGTGGAGGGGAACACCCTTTCTTCTGGATAGGCTCATCTCCTGTGGAATTCATCTCCACAGCACTCTACGGCTCGAGAGGACACAGATATTCAGGCTTAGAAATGCTCACATTGATCACCAACTCATGAAAACCAACTCAGTCAGTCTCAAAAAGTTTTAAAGCCACTTGTCTCTGTTCCACTTTTTGCACCTCTGAATTAAAGACCTCATCAATACCAAGGGTAATTACTACTTTCACTGATATTATGAAAAGCACCATCTCATCGGTTCTTCACCTTCACCAATTTTAACCTTCACAGAATCAAAGCTTCTAATATAGAGAAATTTAAACTGCTAGTCTGCTTTGCTAATCCCAAATTTGCCATGTTGACAGAAGCCACCAAAGCAACCCCTAACAGAAAATCCTATTAGTCATGACCAATCCCTCCCCGCTCCAGTTGTGATTTGCCAGAAATCCAACTGCCTTCCATTTTCCACCATCACTTTCTTTTCAGTATCTGGATAGGAAAAATCTTCCAGTAAACCAAAAATGGTTTGGTCTCGCCTGCTCCCTGGAGCCACATTATCCATGTGGCAAAGCAGACAACAACCAGCTATAAGGAAAGGAATGCCATGCTGTTCTGTTCAATTGCTTTGTTGGTGATAGTCATTCCAAAGCACCCATTCAAATTGATGAAGACTCTCCCAAAACCGGAAACACCTTTAAATCACGGACCCAATTCCTTTAAGCATCAATAATGTTTCTGTTGCACAGAAAGCAAAAAGTTAGGAAATGTTGAGTGAAGACAACCTTCACTTTCTTCTCTTGCACAGTTATATAATGATGAAATTTTATGATGAAATTGCACTATACAATGTATGGTGCAATCAAGTAATGAAAGATTCCACTGAAATGAAAAACACAAAGAGGAAGAGATAGGTTGCTATGGGAACCGTCCATCTGAATTCTCTGACTTCTGTGCAACTAAAAAACTCAAATTTTATGTTCCATTAATGCAGGCTTCTTAGATTTTTACATTTAATAATGAACATAAACCAGTATGCTGGTACTAATGTACTTTAATTGCATGTTTAGGAGAATCAGATAAAACATTATTACACTTACTGTTATCTAACAAGCTGCAGACAAAAAAGATGTATACCAGTAACCCTGAAAAATGGAGCCTTTCTTACCTCCATTGTAGAAATTATAAAATGCTTTTGTGGTTTAGACTCTTTTTGAAATAAGCTACAAGGCTTATATAATAGCTGTATGCCTATAACCACATGTTAACCTTTCTGTTACTATTTTATTTCCACTGAAGTCTCAAAGAAAAAAAAATTTCCATTGCCTGGTCCCGTCCGCCGGTCTCCTTCGCATGCACAGAGATAAGCGCGCTTTTCGCAACACCACCCAAACCCTCTGCTTGGATTTGCCTCGTACTTTCGCGTGCCAAGCCATCACTCTCTCCTCCTCCAAGCATCTCCTCTAATCACACCTCTTGTGAAACCAAATAATGCCTGCACCCTTTGCCAGCAACATCTGCCTCTCCTTGCTTTCCAGCGATCAGCCAGTGCGTTGGGAGCATTTATATATGGATATACCCTGCCAGCTCCTCAGGACAGGAGGCTGCGACCCACTTGCAAAGGTCAGACTACTCTTCTCCACTTGGGCTCCAGCCAGGTGCCAGGACACATATCTGCACTATTTTGCAATACATGT